GAGAGAGAGAGAGAGAGAGAGAGAGAGAGAGAGAGAGAGAGAGAGGCTTGTGGGGAGGAGGAGGAAGGGGGTGTCCCAGGGAAGGCCCAATCCTGAGCCAGCTAGGGAAGCCAGGGAAGCCAAGGCCCCAGAGGTCATGGGGCCCAGGACACAGGGGCAGCCTCCAGGCTCTAGAAGCGGCAGAAAGCTCCTCCCCCCTCCAGCAAACTGAGTCTCCTATCCATCTACCCCTCCTCCCCCCGGATAGTCCCCTTTCGCGCAGTAAGAGGAGTCACAGCATCTCAGTCTAGGCTGACTAGTGCAGATCTGTGACCCTGAGCTCTTGCAGATCGCTGGTTCGGTCTCCCTGTCTCCCCTCCCTCGTGTGCTCCTGGGGCCCCAGCCGCTGGAGTCCTGGGTGAATCTGTCCTCTATCAGGATAAGGCCCTTGCTCCCTTCCCTTCCAGAGAAACCGCTCACTACTGAGCTGACCTACTTTGGAAGACTGGATTTTCTGATTCCAAGAATTTGGGGGTGGGAGGGGCCGTGAAACTTTGGGTTGCCAATCTTTGCATCCATCCTTCTCTCCTCAGGTCCTCTTAACTGTTTCACAGCACCAAGACACTCAGGGCAAGCACTGCTCATCAGCTACTTGCCTGGTTTGAGCAACTCAGTTTCTGTTTTGGGTGTATGTGGGGGTAGGGTGGGAATCTTTGCTGTAAGTCTTGCTTCCCTCCCCTTCTCTCCATGGGAATTATCTGTACCTTTACACAGCAAGGGAGAGGGGCTCTCAGCAGGTTCTGGGAGATGGCCTGCCTTTATCAGGGTGGACAGTGAGGAAGACCATCCACCTACAGGCAGAGAGCTACAATGACCCAAAAAAGGGCTGGTAAAACGTTAGGTACAGCTAGGCCATGGTGGTGCACACCTTTAATCCCAGCACTTGGGAGGCAGAGGCAGGTGGATCTCTGTGAGTTTGAGGCCAGCTTGGTCTACAGAGTGAATTCCAGGGCAGCCAGAACTACATACACAGAGAGACCTGGGGCCAACCCTCTGTTACTGGATCAGCCCAGTAGAAGGGTGGGGGTCAGTAACAGCCCAGGAAGCAGGAAGGGTGGGCCATGACTTTTGTTTTCAAAGTGTTGCCCTCTCTCTCTCTCTCTCTCTCTCTCTCTCTCTCTCTCTCTCTCTCTTTTTTGGTTTTTCCAGACAGGGTTTCTCTGTGTAGCTTTGGAGCCTATCCTGGCACTCGCTCTGGAGACCAGGCTGGCCTCAAACTCACAGAGATCCTCCTGCCTCTGCCTCCCGAGTGCTGGGATTAAAGGCATGTGCCACCAACGCCTGGCGACTTTGTCTTTTGGAAGGTGGCTGCCGAACATCTAGAGTTCTCAGAACACATAAGTGTGGTTCAGGCTTCTCATCTTACTCTGTGCAGAGAACCATCTGTGCAGAGATCACTTCTCATCTAGACGTTGTCAACCCACCTGAAGCAAGTAAAGCTTGGCTTCACTGTGCAGTGAAGCAAATGGCCTCAGAAATTTTCTGCTGGTATCCAACATTCTCCAGAGACACTACTTAAAGAGCCCGTGGGACTTGTCCCCAGCCTCCTTCACCGCTTCTCATTTGCCTGCCTTACGGCAGGAACTGGATTTTATCCATCTGACAGTAACCATTCATCACTAACTGGGTCCTCTGTGTTCTGGTTGCTCAATAGTGAACAGACTTGACTGAACCAGAGGTGGGAGGAATTGGCTGGTTCCACCCTCGGAAGGGCCTCTTTAAATTAAATCAGCCCACTTGAACTGTGTTATTCTGTCCAACATGTGACTAGCATGGCATGCCTGTACCTAATCCAATCCCTCCAGAGTCAAGATCCGTGTGTTACCCAGATGAGGCCCATGATTCTAAGGTGTGTCTGACAGATTTTGCTATCTCCTTCAGTGCTTATTAATAATCCCTTCACTGGTTCCACTTTAAAGTACACGAGATTGATAAAACACCGTATAGCTCATTTCCACAATGGCACTTGGACTTACTTTCTCTGGCTGTCCTGGAACTTGCTCTATAAACAAGGCTGGCTTCGAAGTCACAGAGACCCGCCTGCCTCTGCCTCCTGAGTGCTAGGACTAAAGGCTTGTGCACCACCACCTGGCCAGTTCTTTTTTTTTTTTTTTTTTTTTTTTTTTTTTTGTTTGAGACAGGGTTTCTCTGTGTAGCTTTGGAGCCTATCCTGGTACTCCCTCTGTAGACCAGGCTGGCTTCGAAGTCACAGAGACCCTCCTGCCTCTGCCTCCCGAGTGCTGGGATTAAAGGTGTATGCCACCACCACCTGGCTGAGACATTCTTAATAGGCAGTGTAAACTAGCCTTGAGCTCATGAGCTTCCTGCTTCTGTCTCCTTCGTGCTGAGATTACAGCTACCATAGTCAGTACTGAGTTTTGTTGTTGCTGCTTTGAGATAAGGTCATGTAATATATCCTTGGCTGGCCTGGAACTGCCCACCTAGAGCAGGCTGGCCTTGAACTTCCAGAGATCTGCCTGCTTCTTCTCCAACTTGCCAGGCCGAGCTATTTTATTTTATTCATTTATTTATTTTGTTTTTTTGAGACAGGGTTTCTCTGTGTAGCTTTGGGACCTGTCCTAGAACTCACTCTGTAGACCAGGCTGGCCTCGAGCTCACAGAGATCCACCTGTCCCTGCCTCCTGAGTGCTGAGATTAAAGGTGTGCACCACCCATGCCTGGCAGCAGTTTTATTTTTAACTTGAGTTGGGATCTTGCTATATAATTCAGGATGGATTAGAACTCATGATCTTGCTTTAGCCTCCCAAGTACTAGAATTATAGCTGTGTGATGCCATACCTGTTTCTTTGACCTTGACCCTAATAGTTTAAAATATATATATATTCTTTTTTTTTTAAGATTTATTTAGTATACAGTGTACTGTGTGCATGTGCAGGTCAGAAGAGGGCACCAGATCTCATTACAGCTGGTTGTGAGTCACCATGTGGTTGCTGGGAATTGAACTCAGGTCGTCTGGAAGAGCAGTCAGTGCTCTTAACCTCCGAGCCATCTCTCCAGCCCCCTAAAATACATATATTCTTAAAGACTAACTTTTGAGGGGACTGGAGAGATGGCTCATCAGTTAACAGCACTTACTAATCTTTCAGAGGACCCAGGTTCAGTTCCCAGCACCCACAGGGTGGCTCACAACCTTCTGTAATTCCAGTTTCATGGGATCAGATGCCTTCTTCTGTCCTCTTGGGGTACCCACATATATGGCAGACAGACAAGCATACATATAAATTAAAAAAAAAATTTAAAAAGACTAACTTTTGAGCCAAACTGGATGGACACCCTTATAATCTCAGCACTTGGGAAGTGGAGGTTGGAGCATCAGGAGTTTGAGTCCAGTCTTGGCTACACGGCAAGTACAGGGCTGGTACAGGGCCGTGTAGCCAAGTACAAGGCCAGCCCAGGCTATAACAGACTCCTGTCTCAAAAGACAAACAAATCTTTCTCTACTCAGAAAATTAGCTAGCTGGAGCTCCTTATTTCACAGGCTGGACTGCAGGGATGCATCATAATGTTTGGTTTGTGCAGTGCTCAGATCAAACATGGGGCCTGGTGCATGCTAAGTAAGCAGCCTACCAACTGAGCTGCACCCCAGTCCCCCTTCCCCTTCTTACTCTTTAACTTATTAAACCTGATGGTTCTGATAGTTCTGATATCCACTCTTGCAATAGGTGATGGTTTCTTCTCCCCCTTTGAAAATACTTTGCAGATACTGACAGCCCTTAACATGCCGTGTTTGTGGAAAGGGACTAGGAGAATGAGAATTGAGTTCTCTGTCCCTGTCTTCAAAGGATGTAAATCATTGGCCTCCGGGCTGAATTCAGACCATATCAATTACTTTTTTTTTTTTTTTTTTTTTTGAGTGAGACCATATTAATTTCTTTTTTTTTTTTTTTTTTTTGAGTCACAGTCTGTCTATTTATCCTGGGATATCTTGGAACTTGCTACGTAGAGCAGGCTGGCCTCAAAGGACTGCCCCAGCCTCCCAAATGCTGACCATACACAAACTTGACTTGCCTCATGGAGCACCTTAAAAATATTGAGTCATTCCTTTACTTACTTAATTTCTTTTTAAATTTAATTATTTACTCATTACATTACCTTTTGCAGTGGTGGGAGTTGAGGCAGGATCTTACTATGTAGCTAGCTTGGAACTCACTGTGTAGTTCAAGCTGGCTTCAAACTCACAGAAATCTGTCTGCCTCTGCCCTCTTCTCTTTTTTTTAAATTTTATTTATTTATTTTGTATACAACATTCTGCTTCCATGTATATCTGTGCACTAGAAGTGGGTACCCATCTCATATTAGATGGTTGTGAGCCACCATGTGGTTGCTGGGAATTGAACTCAGGACCTCTGGAAGAGCAACCAGTGCTCTTAACCTCTGAGCCATCTCTCTAGTCCCCTGCCTCTGCCTTCTAAATGCTGGAATTCAAAATGTGAGCTATCGGCCAAGCGGTGGTTTTACGTTTTTAATTCCAGCACTCGGGAGGCAGAGGCAGGCAGATATATGTAAGTTCAAGACCAGCCTGGTCTACAGAGTGAGCTCCAGGACAGCCTCCAAAGCCACAGAGAAACCCTGCCTCAAGCCTCCCTCCCCCTCCAAAAAATGTGAGCTATCTACCTGGCAATGGTGGTGCACACCTTTGATTCCAGTGCTCGGGAGTCAGAGGCAGGAAGATCTCTGTGAATTTGAGGTCAGTCTGGGCTACACAGCAAGTTCCAGGACAGCCAGGTCTACACAGAGAAACCCTGTCTTGAAAAAAAGTGAGCTATCTAACCCAGATTGGTTTTATTTCTTTGAATCTGCGTCTGATTCTGTAGCCTAGTCTGGCTTCAGGTTCATGTCAATCCTCTTGTCTCAGCTTCCCAAGTGATGGGACTACAGGTAATGAATGCTTCATCACACCTGGCTTGAATCATTATTTCACATAAAAACTCAGAATTCTTCTGGGCATGGTGGTATACTCTTTAGCCTCAGCACTCAGGAGGCAGAGGCAGATGGATCTCCGTGAGTTCAAGGCAAACCTAATCTATAATACAGAGAGTTCCAGGTCACCCAGGGCTACACAATGAAACCCTGTCTCTAAGTAAATAAAATAAAATAAATTTCGACTTCTGGTGGACACGGTAGGGGTGGTAACACATCAGCTCATAACTGTCCTCAGCATTTAGGAAGCTGAGGCAGGATGAATTCCCACAAGTTTGAGGACAGCCTAGGATTACATAGTGAGTTCCAGATCAGATATATACACTAGTAAATAAATAAGTAGATAATAAGTAAATAGGTCAGGCTTTTGTTTTTTTTTTCTTAGGCAGTTGGAGGAGGCTACACATTCTCCTAAAGGACTGACTGGTGGACATGAATAGCAGTGGTAGAGAGTGCTCTACAATTTGTGAACAGTCCCTACTATTCCAGCCTGCTTTAACGTTTTTGAAGATAGTCCACTCTACTTGGATGGGACAGAATTCTCTTCTGGTGACCTTTTAACACATGAAAAAGAACCACATTTTCCTTCCATGTACTTGCTTTGGGTGATCCATGTCATAGTATCCACTTTTATTCCCTTCCCTCTCCACAATACGAAAAGAAGAAGCACCGTTAGGAATGTATAACCACAGCAGGTTGCACACTACCTCCAAGCACTACCGCACTGAGTGGCAGCTGCGACTGACATTTAGCCAAGTAGAAGTGGTGTGCCAGGGCTGAAGGCTCTCTGCCTTCATCCACAGGGCAGTGTCTGCTCCCACGCCCATCTGAATGGAACACACAGTAGGCATACCAGACATATAGGAGCGGCCATTGAAGTCTTCTATGTCCATCTTAAAGAGATCCTGTTGAAAGAGAAAAGACCGACTGTTAGGAGCCACAGCTGGGGAGGGATGAGGTGTTTTCTTTGTTTGTTTGTTTGTTTTTGTTCTGTTTTACATTCTCTAGTAAACAAGAAATCTAAAGGATCAGAACAAAACTTTTTTTTTTTTTTGGTCCTGGGTAATAGACAATGTATCATGACTTATAAATGCAGAGATTTACTTCAATCTACCTTCTATTTATTTATTTACTGAGACACATAGCGCTGGCTGGCCTGGAACTCACTGTATGGGTGCCTGTCTCTGCCTCATAAGTTCTTTAGGACTCTTGCGCTTCTGAGATAGGCACACTCACACTACTTTAGTCAAGTGGTTCTGGATTTTGAGGCTGTGCCTTCACTCTTCAGAGGGGCTGACGTGGCAGACAGGTTACACACCTGCCCTGTTGAAGCAAAGAAGCAGCTTCATAGAGGATCAGAGAGAAGCTGAACCGGACCAAGGGTGCTGCTGCACCGCGGTAATTCCAGCATTAGGAGATGAAGGCTAGAGGATCTTGGGTTCCAGGAGCGGGGAAAGCCAATTCAGTTATTTAGAGGTGTGTTTTTCTTACGGGGTGTGTGTAGCAGAAGGCAAGGTGGCAGGAATTCAGAATCAGAGAGAAGTCCCCTCAAGGTTCAGTGACAACTTCTTTTTTTCATGGGAGGGGGTTTGAGGCAGGGTTTCTCTGTGGCTTTGGAGGCTGTCCTGGAACTCACTCTTGTAGACCAGGCTGGTCTCGAACTCACAGAGATTCACCTGCCTCTGCCTCCTGAGTGCTGGCATTTAAAGGTGTGTGCCACCACCCGGCCAGTGACAACTTTGCTGAAGGTATAATAAACTTTTTAGTCATGTGCTGAGTACCAAATCCACGGCCTCACACATGCTAGGCAAACACTCAGCGCCTCTACGCCCTCACGCCTGAAGTTTCTTCTCTTTGTTTTGAGACAGGCTTTCTATATAGCTCTGGCTGTCCTGGAAAATTCAATGTAGACCAGACTTCAGGCTGGCCTCAGACTCACAGAGATCTGCCTGTCTCTGCCTCCCAAGTGCTGAAATTAAAGTTCTGTATCACCACACCTGGTTCCCATGCTTAGACTTTCAAATGGCTTTCCCATGGTCAATGTTTATTTTATTTAAAATTTTTTTTTCAAGGCAAGGTTTCTTTGTGTATAGCCTTTGCTGTCCTGGAACTCGAGCTGTAGACCAGGCTGGCCTCAAACTCACAGAGATCCGCCTGCCTCTGCCTCCTGAGTGCAGGGATTAAAGGCGTGTGCCACCTCCTCATGGCCTCTTTTTAATTTTTAAAACTATGTTTAAATTTTATTTTGGGGGGTATGAGTGTTATGCCAGGATGTATTTATTTGTACCTTATGAGTGCAGTGTCTGAAAAGGCCAGAAGAGGGCACTGAATCACCTGAAACGGAAATTTGTGAGCTACCCTGTGGGTTTTGGGAACTGAAACCCTGGTCCTTTACAACACAGTAATTGCTCTTAACATCTGGACCATCTCTCCAGTCCTACTATGTTTATGTTAAAGAAAAAACAAGTGCATACACCTGTCCACCTGTCAACACTTAGTAAGTAGAAGCAGGAGGATCAGGGGTTCAAGACTAGCCTCAGCTATATGGTGAGTTTGAGGCCAGCCTGGGCTATGTGAAATCCTGTCTCAAAAAATAAATAATTATTTAAGAAGGAGAGAGTTGGGTTTTTGTTTGTTTTGTTTTCGTTCTTTTTCTCTATGTAGCCTTGGCTACCCTAGAATTCATGATGTAGGCCAGGCTGACCTCAAACTCATAAGAGATCTGCCTGAGTTTGCCTCCTGAGTGCTGAGATTAAAGGTGTGGGCCACCACACCTTTAAGAGAGAATTTTAAAATGTATGTTAGTCAAAAAAAAAAAAAAAAAAAAAAGCTGGTCAGGGGTGGTGTATGCTTTTAGTCCCAGCACTTGGGAGACAGAGGCAGGCAGATTTCTGTGAGTTTGAGGCCAGCCTGGTCTACAGAGTTACTTCCAGGACAGGCCCCAAAGCTACATAGAAACCCTGTCTCAAAAAAACAAAAAATAAAAATAAAAGCATGTTAGTCTATTTATGGGAAATCAGACAGCAGAGTATTAAACAATTAAAGTGATAATTATTGTAATAGAGTCCTTGGGAGGAGGACAAGAAAAAAATCTATTTAGAGCTAGGCATGGTGGTTTATGTCTCGGATCCCAGCATTTGGGAGGCAGAGGGAAATGGATCTCTTATGAGTTCAAGGCCAGCCTCGCCTATGAAATGTAGTTCTAGGCTAGTCAGAGCTACATAGTAAGACCCTATGCCCTGTGTTGAGACACACACACACACACACACACACACACACAGAGAGAGAGAGAGAGAGAGAGAGAGAGAGAGAGAGAGAGCACACTTGGAGTTGGTAGCACACGCCTTCAATCCCAGCTCTCAGGAGACAGAGGCAGGTGGATCTTTTCCAGGCCTGGTCTATAGATGGAATTCCAGGACAGCTAGGGCTACACAGAGAAACTCTTGGGACTGGAGAGATGGCTCTGTGGTTAAGAGAACTGGTTGCTCGTCCAGAGGATCTATCTAGGTTTAATTCCCAGTGCCTGTAGAGCTGCTAAAAAATGACTGTAACCCGAGTCCCACAGATCCAGGGCTCTCTTAGAGCCTCTGTGGGAATGGCACACACATGGTGCACAGACATTCACCCAAGCAAATACTCTTACACATAAAATAAAAATAAAATCTCAGAAGAAAAACCAGATGTCCTCCTTCGGACTCCAGGAGCACTGCACACACATGGTCATTTTACATACAGGTGAGCGTGCATACAGATAAAATGAAATAAATACATCTTTTAAAAATAATCTATGTGTTTTTGCCTCTCCTGATAGAAATAAATGCCCCTGGGGCAGATCTGCAGGGACAAGAGTGAAGCTAGGAAGCAACTTGAGATGCCACCAGGAGTCAAGAACCCTTTGAAGGCTTCGGCTACGGCAGATAGATGAAAGTGTGCTCATTTGAAGGCTTCCGCTATGGCAGATAGATGAAAGTGTGGCTCATTTGCAAAGCTCTATTATGGGAACGTGGACTGGCTCATGGGCGGTGGGGGTAGGGGGGTGGGGGTGATGTCTGTTTGGCTTCCCAGATCTTATGTGGAGCTACGCTCATGAGAGAGCTCATGAGAGAGCTCGGAATGCAGGCTTGTGCTCACTCTTGCAAAGCAACCCTTCCTTTGATCTCATCAGACATTATCAGCATTAACCTCAGGAATCCTGGGTGTGTGGGAACAATCCTGAGATTATTTTCAACTCCTCTTGTCTTGACCTCCTGGGATGGACTGAGCTTTGGAACCAGACTTTTCAGAACAAGCCACAGCTCTGAGCTGCATTTCCAGTTCCAACCAGCCGAGATTATAAGTGGTTGCTTAAAGTTTCCCTTGGGGGCCATGATTAGAAGAGCCCGAGTGTGCACGGTCAGATAACTCAGACCCTTTCGAACTAGCCACAAATCTCGAGGTGGTCAGAGATCCCAAGACAAAGGAGGCCAGGTGGTACTCAGAAATCATCAGCTCCACAAATGGCCTTTGGAACTTTTTCCCCAAAACAACTACAAAGCTCAGAGTGTTATGCATGAATTCCCTCAAATGTCCCCCTCCCCGATACAGAAGGGAAAGGGTTTTCCCATTTTCTGTTTGGAAAAACTGAGGCTTAAAGCAGTTAAGCTGATGTCGAAAGGCTTGTCCCCACTAAAACCAGAATCAGAACAAAGCTTTCCTGCTTCTCTGAGGAATGCTCTTTCTTTAAGGATTTATTTTTATTATTTTTAAAGCGTGCGTGCGTGTGTGCGTGTGCGTGTGTGTGACTGTGAGTGTGCGTGCACATTTGTGCATGTGAGTGCAGGTGCCTTTAGAGGCTAGAAGCACTGGATTCTCCTGGAGCTGGAGTTAAAAACAATTCTGTGCTGAGCATTGGTGGCGCACGCCTTTAGTCCCAGCACTCAGGAGGCAAAGACATGTGGATCTCTGTGAGTTCGAGACCAGCCTGGTCTACAGAGTGAGTGCCAGGACAGTCAGGGCTATACAGAGAAACCCTGTCTTGGAAAAACAAACAACAAACAACCAAAAAAGAAAACAACAACAAAACCAATTCTGCACCATCCAATGCAGGTGCTGGGTCGTCTGCATGGGTAGTGCATGCTCCTAGGCACTGAGACACCTGGCCTGTCCCTGAGGTGTGCTCTTTCCTTTACACTGTATTGCTTCCTTTCAAAAGCTAGGCTAGGGCTGGGGCTGCAGTGCAGCTGAGGAGTGCTTGCCTCCTAGCATGCACAAAGCCTTGAGCTGGGTCCGTGGCATTGTGGAGTCAGGAAGAGCAGAAGTTTAATGTCATTCTCAGATACAAAGTTGAGTTTAAGGCCACCCTGGGCTCCAGGAGACCTTGTCTCAAACAATATAAAACAAAGCAAAGCAAAATAAGTAAGTAAGCAAATAAATAAATAAGTAAAATTAAAAAAAAATGTTTCTTTAGAGTAACCCTTGTAGGAGAGGGGTTTCTTTTTAAGAGGCAGAACAAGTTGTACTAGTTTTCCAGTTGAAGGGCTGCCTCAGGAATGGTGGCTCCTTCTTGGATCCTTTTCAAAATGGCCCAGTTTCCAGAAAGATCTGAGGAGTGTTTCCTTTTGGGAGTGTGTGTACGTCTGCGTGTACATGTACATACGTGTGTGTGTGTGTGTGTGTGTGTGTGTGTATGTGTGTGTGTGTGTATAGACAAGGTCTTGCTTTGTAGTCCTAGTTATCACTATGTAGCCCAGGCTGACCCAGACTCATGGTCACACTCTTGCCTTGGTCTCCCCCAAGTGATGGGATTACAGGTGTGTACCACCAGGCCCAATGTATTCATGTTGCTTTAAACCACTTTCCTTCCCGTCTGAGGTCTTTGACCCAAGTTCATATTGGATTGCTAACTTCTTTCTCCATATACTACCCAGCA